TCAGCTTTCTCTCGGCCTGCAAACGCCTTAATAGTCAAGAATGCACCACAAATCTTAGTTTGAACAAAAAAGGTTGGAAAACTATTCACAAACCATGATACCATCATGAAAAGGCTAAATGTACTTTCCTGAGGTGCTAGATTTAGGAAAACACTGCTAACCAATGCATTCTTGTGTTCTGTGCGTTTTTAAGCCGTCTCTCGGCCTGAAAACGCCTTAATAGTCAAGAATGCACCAAAACTTAGTTTGAACAAAAAAGGTTGGAAAACTATTCACAAACCATGATACTATCATGAAAAGGCTAAATGTACTTTCCTGAGGTGCTAGACTTAGGAAAACACTGTTAACCAATGCATTCTTGTGTTCTGTGCGTTTTTAGGCGTTCTCTCGGCCTGCAAACACCTTAATAGTCAAGAAAGCACCAAAACTTAGTTTGAACAAAAAAGGTTTGAAAACTATTCACAAACCATGATACCATCATGAAAAGGCTAAGTGTACTTTCCTGAGGTGCTAGATTTAGGGAAACACTGTTAACCAATGCATTCTTGTGTTCTGTGCGTTTTCAGCTTTCTCTCGGCCTGCAAACGCCTTAATAGTCATGAATGCACAAAAACTTAGTTTGAACAAAAAAGGTTGGAAAACTATTCACAAACCATGATACCATCATGAAACACATAAATGTACTTTCCTGAGGTGCTAGTTTTAGGTAACACTGTTAACCAATGCATTCTTGTGTTCTGTGCGTTTTTAAGCCTTTCTCTCGGCTGGCAAACGCCTTAATAGTCAAGAAGCACCAAACTTAGTTGGAACAAAAAAGGTTGGAAAACTATTCACAACCATGATACCATCATAAAACAGATAAATGTATTTTCCTGAGGTGCGTAGTTTTAGGAAAACACTGGGTAACACTTTACTTGAATGGGTGTTCATTAGACTTACATAACATTGTCATTACCATGACATGAGAGCTGTCATGAATATCAAGGAATACTTATGACAGTTGTTGTTAAGTGTCATTCGGTAAATTATGTCACTTTTGATGCAAAGGTGACATTGTTTGAGATGTCCTTGTTATGACAACTTGACATAAACCAAGACAACAAAACCTGTCATAAACATGTCATAGCAGACCTATTTGTCAAACTTAAGAAAAACGTTTTTCTTCATTTCTTAGAGCGACATTAAACCGTCATATATGGATGGTTTTGACACTCGCTGTCACAAAACCATTACAATTTTGTCATATATGTGGTCCTTTTCATTAAAATGTCGTAAAAAGTTTAACTACACTGCTAAATGATTTTAGAACTTCCCTCCTACAGTGATTTAATGATTTTAACTTTTCATTAAGATGTTTAATTATGTAGTCAAACCAGTTTATACAATGTCACAACTGTTTTCTTTGAATACAAGTAAAGTGGAACAATTAGATTATTAGAAATGCAGGGAGTCAAAGAGGCTCTGGTGACATCCAGGACCAGAGAGAGAAGCAGGTGATGGTCAAAACATTTCATCTACTATTCATTTAAATACATATAATCTAAAGGATATTTCCGGAATCAGGAACATTTATTACCAAAATATGTTTTTGTTTGTTTGGTTACGCCTCCACTAAATTAATTATTTGGGTTTATTTTTAAACCGGAAGTAGCGCCGTTGCATGCCGCTAGCTTAGGGCCGTTCCGTTCCATTGTGCTGCTTGCGGTGATAATTACAGGACCGGTGAGTGGCACTCGGATCCCGTTTGTCGTTACGTGGAATGTTGACTGGACAGCGCGCGCTCTCTTCTTCAGTAAACGTCGCGCGGTTGTCAGCCGACAAGATGAGGATCTCCCCGTGGGACCGCTGGTTCTCCACCAGCTGCTGTGTGTGCTGCCATGTCCGCACAGGGACCATCATCTTGGGGGTCTGGTACATGGTAAGCACCGCCTGTCAATCACAATGAAAACATCAGCATCATTATGCAAGGCACAAAGGTTTGAATTATTCTGCTGATAATACAATTTCAATATGGCTAATTTGATCATTCTGTCCATTTATGTTTTTGACGTCGACAGAGGCCTATAAAAGACGTATTTCTATATATATATATATATATATATATATATATATATACATATATATTCTCACACTTGATCAAAACGTAAAAAAGGTAGCCTCAGTATTGAACTGACTGGGCTGGAGAGAGGGGGACCTGAACCAAACAGCCCATGTGGAGATATCCTCCCTATGAATAAATCAGCATGGGATCTCCTCAGGTAGCAGCTCTTGTGTCAGACCTTTGGACTGCTCTGAATTTTCCATCAAATTAACCTGATCAACGAGGATGTATGAGTCATCTGCATTAGGAGCTGTGCCACCCAGGACTTACTGCAGACCTGTTATTAACACTCCTCTGGGAAAAGTTTGAATCATTACTTGGGGGTTCTACAATCTGTGTTACACTTATTCCAAATGTTCGCCTATATTCCCTGTGTGCCCGTCCATGTTGTTTTCTTTATCTCCCCATATGTCCTCTGTCCTTAAGCTCATCAATGCCGTGGTGTTGCTCATCCTGCTCACAGCGCTCAGTGATCCTGAGCAGTACCACCTGACCAGCGCTGAGCTGGCTAATGACCTGGATGTCATGGATGATGCCAGTAAGTGTACTATGCATATCTCACGATACCTGAACCAGATGTGTGATTCTCATTATTTATTGCATTCAACACTTCAATTCTAAATCATTTTATTTTGTATAGCCCAAAATCTCAAATTACAAATTTGCCTCAGATCAGGCAATAAACAGGACTCTGTCTTTCTGTGTTATCATATTCCTCTGCTGTTTTGTTGCTGGTGTTGAACACTGAAGGGACAGAGTATCTGATTTCTCGCTCAACGTTAGACTAATTTGACTTTATTTAGCTGCGTTCACATTGCAAGCCAAAGTGGGAGTATTTAATTTTTTGTGTGTATTTGAGACTTGTATTGTGTATTTGAGGTGGAGGCTCTATACAGTCAGCGATTCCTATGTGTACAACCTCTACTTAGTCTCTCCGCTCAGTGGTGAAGAGTTTCACAGACTGTTAGTCCCAGTAGAGTCATGGCTTCCTCAGAATTATGTTTTACAGGTTCTGCCTACTTCAAATTGTTAAATCTGGGGGGGTATTTTAAATTAAACATGTGGAGTAATATGTTTTTGATTAAATATCAAACTTTTAAGCTTAGTAACCTTTTGTGACAGAAGTGGTTGGCCCACATGATATGCTCAATGGTTGTTTACTTAACATCAGACCGATTCAGAGCCGATACATTTTGCCAAGATCAACATCCGTCACCATTTTCCACTGGGACGCCATTCCCATCACTACATTTTGCCCTATGAGCTATTCATACCCAACTCTGTACACAAGTAGTGATTGCTTTTTAAAAAAACACAATTAAACATCCACATCAATATATGACTTGGACCGTGAATGCTTACTTCAGTGGCATGTTTTACTGAGGCTTCAACATCAGACAACGGTTTTCAGAGAAACAGAACATAATGGAACTAGCAGCAGAAAAAACAATATTTCTCTTAGGAGTTGGACAATACCAAAAAAGAGTGAATATTGGACTTGTCCATCTCAATTTGTTGTGGCTATGTCAGAAACAAAAAATAAAAACATCTCAGCTTGACGAGGCCCCTCTGAAGCTGGCCACAGTTCCAGCCCAAGTCCTTGTCTGCATGACTGATGCAGCTTGCCATTTATCTTCTGAGTGGGATTAGTTCTCAAACGGACACTATGTTGGGAACATTATCACAAATTTGATTTGAAATCTCCAAAAACGCATGTCTGAGGTGAAGTGACCTCCCGCTGACCTCTTAAGCGTTCTTCTCTCTTCTGCAGACATGTGCATCGCCTCAGCCATCTCCCTGCTGATGGTACTGATCTGTGGAATGGCAACATATGGTGCATACAAGGTAATGATTCCCGAGATTCTACTGGTGATTAAAGCCAACATTGATTGTGTTTGTCAGGCCAAAGGATCTTCCTGAGTTCATTTCCAGAACAGCCATTTGAAAAATTCATGAATGTTGCCAGGCGACTTGAGTGTTGTAGCTCTGATTTAGGTCAACGGTGCTGGTGAAGTAGCTCAGTTTTTATTCTCTGATTCATCACCATAACTACAATATCTCTGTTTCAGCTGCGAGCTGCCTGGATCATCCCGTTTTTTTGCTACCAAATATTTGACTTTGCTCTCAATGCACTGGTTGCTGTGAGCATTGTAGTTTACCCAAACACAGTACAAGACTACCTGCAGCAGCTGGTGAGAAACTTCAAGTATTACCATACCATATATAAAATTGAGGAGCAAAATGGTCAGATGCACAGCTACTATCTAGCTCCTGGTGCTCCTTTAACCGAAATCAACTGAGTGCTGCTTGTGTTTTTTGGGCCTCCCGTGCAGCCTGACAACTTCCCCTACAAAGAGGAGATTGCTGCTCTAAGTAACGTGTGTTTGGTCCTCACCGTGCTGCTCTTCATTGGCTCCATTCTCAGCTTCAAGGTAAGGGTCTTCCTACCTTCTTTTACATGTCCTCTTCATACAATCAGCAGCACTAATGGCAGGCCTGCCAAGGATTCTGTTTGCTTTTCTTACAACAGTGGCTCAATTCAGTACTCTCCGTGACTCACTCTCAACCAATCACAACGCTTGATTTCATCTGCCCTGTATTATAAAAGAATATACGATACGGGATATGAAACATGACCAGTAGTCGAAGTGCAAGCACCCAGTTGAATGGTGAATTTATGCTACTTTGTTGAATTCATATATTTGTGAATCTGACTTTGAAAGAGTCAGTGCCTCCCCAGCCACGAACCTCACGTCACTGCTCTACAGCTACTGGATGGATTGTCATGGCATTCAGTACGGCCATTTAGGTTACCGCTAGGATGAATCCTAATGACTTTGGGGGTTTGTTGGCTTTTCCGGAAACAGAAAGTAAAAGTTTCAATTTTATAGTAAAAGAGTGATGCTCACCACCAATGACACCACGGTAAGTCACCTCTGCTGATAGCAGTAGTGACCTGTCACAGTAGAATCGCAATAAAGCATCCCCTGTTTTATGGCGCGTTTAACTCTAAATGTACCATCATTTACTAAATGACCATCATGCTGTATTACAGACGACTTGAAACTAGAGATTGAGACCATAAACTAATGTTAACAAGGGAACTGCTAGTGAGGGAATAAATCAAGAGAGAATTAGTAATTTTCTCATAGATAGGTTAGTAGAGAAGGCAGGTTACTTGGCAGAAGCGCAGTTTGAAGCCTGGTCCAGTTTATTCTGTAATAACCAATGTCAATCTGAGATTATAAATGAAAGGCTTATTTTTAGTTGCAGCAGTTATGGTTTTGATAGTCATTTTTAGAAATGGATATGTCAAAATTGGGATTTTGGGCTATATCAAACAAATTGAATTGAAGTGAGAATGAACAGGTGGTTGAATTAATTGTTATCTGTATTATATGTGTTCCTTTTCTCTGTAAGTCAGATTTTCTTTGAGTAACATACTTTTATTATAGCATTTGTGATATGTATGCCACCATCCTTATCTCATTCGACATGAATGAATTGATTTTTATTTCCCCTACAGGCCTACCTGATGGCATGTGTGTGGAACTGCTACAGATATGTGAGTGGGCGGGGGGCTTCAGAAATCCTGCTCTATGTCACCACCAATGACACCACGGTAAGTCACCTCTGCTGATATGCTTTGTGCTATGGCACCCATTTCACCATGACGGCCCCATAGTTTGAAATCAAGGTTTAAAAGATGACGGTGGCAAGATGACGGTGGCAATGTTGTTCTTGTCAACAGATCGTTAAATCCGGGGCCGGAACATGTGCGGTGGGTAACACTCCTTAGTAATTTTGATTTTGGTCAACTATGGAGCTCTATGGCACAGAACTTTAAGATATATTAGGCTTTTGTTTCACAGGCAACACCTGTTAGTAAGATTACATTTTTTTGCGTTGGTCTTAGTTGATAACAGGCAAAAACTATCTTTCTGTTAGAAGATAAACAAGCATTGACACCAACTAAGTCTCGGCCTAGCTTAGTGGTTTTCTAATACTTCACTTAAAGTAGTAGAAATACACATTTTTCAAGAACTTTTTCCCCCTTGTCAGACCATTACATTACATCACAGGTCATTTAGCTAACACTTTTATCACACCATTTTTTTTGTGTGAATATTCATACTTTTTTTCCCATGAGGTGTTGCATGCTACAGACAGATCTTACTACAGCCATAAGTCTACGTTAACTGTAAGAAGAATATTTCCACGATGGATTAAAACATGTAAGAAACCAGATGATTCACTAGTCAGCACACATTGATGAAATGTAGAAATGAACAGTACATGAAAAAAAAACATCCATCCAGTGTGTGCATGTGTTTAATTAGCTATGTTTATATTGTCATCAAGAGATCCTAAATGAAACAATATCTGATCTTGATATGTAAAACAAAATAATTTCCTTATTTAATCCATCAATTAAGTTGTGTTTCACCACCTGCGTAGGTTTCCTCTTAGCCCGGTCTGACAGCTGCAAAGTCCCCATGTTGGGGGAGGGAGGAATTAAAACGATGGGCTTAGCTGCAGGTAGTTTTTCATTCACTAACACGGAGAATGGAGAATTGGACAGACTTGGACTGACAGATCGGGCTCCAAGCTGGTAAAGCCATTATAATGGCAACGGGGGCACAGACGTACAGTCAGTGAGCTCCGTTTGGGTGTTTCTGGGTCGGTGTCCTACTGCTCAGGCCCTGGCCCCCTTATAGCTGTTCCCCCGCTGCCCCACACTCTGATTATAACTACTTATACTACTTATAACTACTAGTATTATAACTACTTCTACTACTTAGTGTATACATTTATATGTATACATATATACATTATCTTATATACATATATAGGACCTATGTGAAGTTTGTCATCGTACTTATTTCAACTTTTTAGATATAACTTAAACAATGTACTTTTATGTACTTTAATGTAGTCTGATGTTTTCATGGCAAGATACTTTTTGTCCACCAGTTTAATTCTGTATGAAATGTGTCATACAGATATAGATGCCTTGCTTTGCTTAATGTATTTTACTTTGCACTGGTTACATTATCCAATTTAGTTTGATAGTTTAAACTTAATAATTAGGAAATTATAGCCACTATTTAACACTATTCATTTGAATTGAGTCAACTCTTCGCTCCTTCATCTCCAGGTGCTGCTGCCTCCGTATGATGACAGCGTCAGCGTCCCTGCTAAACAGGCTCCTCAACTGTACACCACTGCCACGGCATAAGAAATATTCTGAGGTTGCTGCTGACTGAAGCCTGCTGTTACTTTCCCCCTTCCTCCCCCCGCCCCCCTCCTGCCCCAGCAAGATGTATGCACCACTCTGCCTCTCCAGCGTCCAGCACAGGCATTTCAGCACACCCATGCATGCACCGAACCATATGAAATCTTTGTAGGCACATGCACACACCTCCACCACCACCGTGACCTCTTATCCCTTCACGTTTGTTATTTGTGAGCTTGTTGTTTCCAGACACGATGCGCATCCCAATGCATTTGAACCTGGGTGCAAAATGTCACGAGAAAGTGTTAGATTCTATATATTTGTATTAATTCTAGTCACGCTCTGTGTACATTCGTGGTAGTATTTTGTGTCCTACCTTTGATAGTCCTATATTACATTACAGCACAAATTCTCATAAGTGTTTCCCGTTTGTCTGGTTTCGTGATCGGGGTTGGATTGCCTTTATTATTCATTACTTTCTCTCTGATGGGCTGCCATTTATAGGGTGAGGGGGCCTATGTGTGAAGTGTCACCTTGATTGGTGTTCCCAAAGAAACGTATCTGCCTATATTCTGACATGATCTCAAAAAACCTAGGACATATATCGAAAATATCGCCGTCTTTTACCGTTTGATTTTTCTGATTTTATCTGGAGTGGAGTTTTGCTGGTTGACCGCCATCACTTTTAAATGTAACTGTATGTTTCTATCAATGGACGAGAAAAACGTATTCCCAGCTATTTATCTATTTTTAAAGCACATAAGAGGTGCTGATCTGAAATCTGTTTGCTGTGATGAGTCGACTGGATTGGGGCCTCTCTGTGTCCTGGAGCTCAGTAGACAAGGGCCCTGGTTGTGTTTTTTCAGTTGAAACCAACGGGAGCTTCTGCTCTGCGTAACCACCAAGTCTGCTCCATCAGATGCAGCTACTTTTCCAGCTGCTCTTTGGCCAAACATGTATGGCAAGGACAGCTGTATGAGAAATAAAAGATGTAACATTTATTGGTGTATTAAAAGTCAAATTTTACCGGCAGATGGTTGTTTTATTTTGAATGTACAAGGTTGTGTGTGAACTCAAAGGTTTGAAAGAAACTATTGATTTAAATAAATCTGTACATAATCGTTTATAGACAAAACTTTATAGACAATCAAATGTAGAAAAAAGGTCAATGTTGAAAATAATCGTTGTGCTCATTGTGTCGAAGGCAGGTCGATTAAAACAAACTCTTTTTATTTTATAACGTAAGAAAAAACTCTGCATGAGCAAGTTCATGGCTCTCGACCTCTGCCAATATCTCGTTATAAAAGGTTTAAAGGTGTAGAATTAAGAGTTTAGTCCCGGCTATCTGAAAGTAAGCAGAGATTGTTTGAGGTGAAAAAGAGGCGTCTCTGTGGTTTGAATCGGGGAGTAAACGCAGAGTAGATGGAGTGAGGGGAAGAACAAAGGCTGGACAGATAGCGAGAGCCACAGAGCTGGGATGTGAGCTAGTGGCGACGAACTCTTCGCTCCCTGTGGAGATTTATTGAGACCCTTCCGACACAGAAAACTGATAACGGTAAGTAGTTTTGGATGTATTTTCCTGATGGCATGAGTCTGTTAGTCTGTTAAGAACTCTACTTACATACTTGGAGGAAAGAAGTTTTAGAAGTTCGTATTTTCAAAGAAATGAGGCAGGTAATAAAGATGTGTGCAAAGGACATCAGTGCTAAACACCCACTTCTGACAGTATGGAAAATAGTGCCTTTATTTACAGTTTCGGCATGTCCCACGGCATATTAAAACATGCCGTTTGCAAAACAGTGCAGTTCCACCTTGATTGCACCTGGAACAGGACAGAGACCAAGCCAAGAGAAATCCACAGGCAGGATGGGGGAAAGGTGTCTTGCCCCAGCCTGACACGTAACACACATCTGTGGGATGGTAGGAGCATGGCTTCGCGCTGTGGGTCTGATCTGTTCTTCGGAAATGCTGTAGTGTAGGAAGAAACACAGGTGAATGGGAAAACAACAAAGGAAAAAAGACATGTTTCCAATGTGTCCTGCTATTCATTTAGCTTTTTTTTTTTACAATCATTTTTATTGATATCAAGTTAGGAAATACCTGTCCACACAAAACAGGGATAAACATTGAAACTCTCTATTGTGGTACAGTATGAAGGTTATTATTAGAATTGACATTGTTATTATAAACAGGGAAATCAAAAGTACTTTACAGAGAGAAAAGCATTAATGAAATACCTAAATAAATAGTTAAACAAGTCTCATCTTGAAATTAATCAAATGAACAAGCAGCTCAAATAAAATGGTGATATGCTTCTAGATAAAAGTATTCTCAATTGGTACTAAGGGGCCCAAAGTGTGCCAAGAAAATAACCCCCACCACCACCAGCAACCTGAACAGTTAATACAAGGCAGGATGGATCCATGCCTTAATGTTGTTTACGCCAACATTCTGACCCTACTATTTTAATGTCGCTGCTGAAATCAACACTCATCAGATCAGGCAATGTTGTTTAGAATCTTCTATTGTCTCATTGTGGTGAGCCTGTGAGAATTGTAGTCTCAGTTTCCTGTTGTTAGCTGACAGGAGTGATACCCAGTGTGGTCTTCTTCTGCTGTAGCCCATCTTCAAGGTTCCACTTGTTGTGAGTTCAGAGATGCTATTCTGCATTCCCTGGTTGTGACAAGTGGTTATTTGAGTTACTGGGGCCTTTCTATCATCTCAAACCAGTCTGCCCATTCTCCTCTAACACCAGCAAGGCATTTCTGTCCATACAACTCACTCATACGCTAACTGGATATTTCCTTTTTGGGACCATTCTCTGTAAACCCTGACTCACACAAACCTTCTTTCTCACTGCACACATCTTGGAAATGATTTTTTTGACAAAGCTTTGGTCGACTCTGTATCCCCGGGATGGCTCATCACGCACTTGTGTTTTTGAACATATGAAACATGGTGGCCTCCATAACTAAAATAGAGTCCCATTCTATTTAAAAAAGAAAAAAACAAAAAGCATTGTTGTAGTGAGTAAAACTTTATTCTGTACACTAGGTTAGCAGAATCAAACAAGATCATAAAATTAGTTTAGAACAGAGAAAGAAACAGATGAAAAGGTCCAACATACATCACGTCCTACACAAATAAAATCACCTTTTAAAGCTTTGGTGACACAGCATGTATAACTAATAATTACAAAAAAATACATCCACCAGGTGATCTCCTACAGAGAAGGAGAAAGGTTGTGCTTGCACTACTGTCTGTTCCATAATCTCAAGCTCACAAGTTAATATTTATTATGAGGAAACCAGCTTAGCAAAATGCAAATTCCTATCATTACTTCTGAAATGTGTCTTTCTGTTAGAGATATATTTTGGATCCGTTAACATTGAGGAGAATAGCCTGGCCGGAAATAGATAAGTTAAAGCGTTAATTACAACTGAACTGTGTGATAAAAAAAACTCATTTTTAGGACCCAATAATTGTTTTGTCCTTCCAAGAAAATCTTGGAAGGACAAATCTGCCTTCTGTTTTTTCCAGAATCCATGAAACTCGGTATCATGTGAAAATAAGATTTGTTATCTCAAGATAACAACTAATTAAAAATATTTAAACTGCTGGCAGTGTTGCCTCTCTGGGCTTGTGTGATCAAATTAACTACTTTATGGGTTCTCCATAATTATCTCCAGAAAGCAATTCATCTCGTTGGGAGAAATCATCAAATTATCTTTAGACATGCCTTTTCTTTCTGAATTTGCATAACTTAACTTGACACAGGAAAGCAAGCTTTCTTGTCTCGAGATAACAAAAAATTACGTCTTGATCTCAAGAAAAATGAAATCACGTGATTATTGCGAGGCCAGACGTGAGATGTACGTAAGGCACTCTGCTTGTCCTTCTGAGTTTAGAGATGGAAACGCCAGGGAGACCGTGTCATCAACAGCAGCACTAAATGGCTTCATGGAACAGCAAGACGGCGTACCAGTACTTGGATCATCTGCCTCCTCAACCTGCCAGTGACTGCTGTTGGGATGACCAAGCTTTTGCATCTTATCATCTGTATGCATCTGGATTTGACTACAGTAGTGCTAATCAGTGTTTCACACACTCAACAGTTTACTCAAAATTAACCACTGTCACTCCTGTTAATTAAAAGAAGGCTGTAATTAGTGTCAACGTAGCGCAGGGGTAGAGAGTGGTTCGAGCCCCGGCTGCTCCATGTCCCATGTCGAAGTGTCCCTGAGCAAGACACCTAACCCCTAATTGCTCCCCGGGCAAAAATGTAAAAGCCATGCGTAAAAATACAATGTAAGTCGCTTTGGATAAAAGCGTCAGCTTAAATTACCTGTAATGTAACTGTATAATGTGTAGTACAGATAGAAACGTAGATATATGGCAGTATTCAGGCTTCATGACACCTACAAAATCTAAAAGTAATCTATGGGAACATGATCCTTTAAAATCCCTAATGCAGGGTATAAAGGAAAGGGTGCTGTTCATCCTGACTGTTTAGAGTTGCCCTTTCCTCAAGTCCTTGCAGAATGCTTTTCACAGTTGCATTTGGCTTGTATTCCAGCAGCGGTTTTAAAGTGTTTACAGAATATTGCACCAATCGTACTCATCAAGTGTTTTTAGAACATCTTCTTTGCACAGATCCGTGTGTGAGTAAAGTATGTGGTATCACTTAAGCTCTCTATAAAATAAGACATGTTTGTATTTACAGATGTAGAAGAATGTTGTGATATTAAGGCACAGCGCATATTAATAAATCTTGTGTGGTGAATAGACGTGGTGAAAAATGTTTATTGCTTAAGTCTTAGTCCCTTACAGGCAGCTTTGGGGTTCTCTTATTTTGATACAATCTTCTCCCTGAAATAAAATAGTTTCAATTAGTGAACATCATACAAACAATTTTCCCTTCATTTTTTGGGATAACGAGTAGCTCCTGTGGTATATGTGTGTGGGGTTTTAGGTGTAGATTTTGGTTGTGCTCTTACCGACTCAATCCTTCTTTTTTCCCTTTCCGCCCTCTGTACCGTGAGAAGCCTCAGCTGAAGACCTCACTGCACACACACACACACACACACACACACACACACACACACACACACACACACACACACACACACACACAGACACACACACGCACACACACGCACAAACATACACCCAGGCAGACGCGAACAGAAGAATTCAGCATACCCCATAGCACTTATATGCTGAGGGAACATTAAGCCTGACTATGACCAAACTGAAAACACAACTACAGCGTTCCTTTCTTAGCCACCTGGTTCTGCTGAACTGGTTTACCTGAACAGGCACACACAATACTGTAATTGGGGTGGCATGCACACAGCACAGCCTCCAGGGAGAGTCAGTCTCATGTGCAATGGGTCTTTCACACCAGGCTAGTATTATTCAGGAGCTGCTTGGAGGGGGGGTCTCCACCCTAAAAGTACAGGGTGTTCTCGGAGAGAAGAGTGGGTGCAGGAGGACTTGGGCATGTAATGCCTTTGGAATGCAGACTTGACACATTGATTTTGGATTGTCACTTTATTTTTCCAACAAAGGGAACAAACTACAACATGCTCTAAAGGAAATGTCTAAGTGAATGATAATCTGAGCAGAATCAGAGCATTCACACACATGACTACTGACTGAGATTGTCAGCCCCGTAAAATGATTCAATTATCACGCTGTATGACACCTAGAATGCAGTCTGGCTTGCAGAGCATTGTTACATGGCCTTAAGCAATAGACAGCAGCAGGGCATGATTACTCTAGAGTCAGTTCACAATGGAGGATAGTGAGCGAGAGTTGCGTGACTGGATCCGTTGTGCTGACATGTTCCCTCCTGCTATAATCAACAGGTTCCTCAAACTGCGTCATCCGTTTTGGCCCAACAATATCCTGTTCATCCTGCCAGCTCTGACTAATCGCAGGAGGAGTGTGGACGGGAACCGATGTGAGAGATCCTTCATTAAAAGAGTTTTTTGTATATTTGATACATGCTTAGTTACCAACATCCAAGACCATTAATAGTGTACCTATATTAAGTGTCCCTCTCTCTGCTTGTTTGCATATGCTTAGTGCCTAAGGCATGTTTGCATAGATGTCTTTGGGATTGTACGAGGGGTGGGCTAATTACCTACTCAAGCAAGTCTGCTGCCTCCACGCGGCGTGACCCTGGTAACGTAGGGCCACGCCGCGTGGGGAAGGATCCCTACGGCAAAAGACCGAACCTCCGCAATCTTTAGGGGGGCGTAGGTTAGCACTAGGGCTGCAACAAACGATTATTTTGATAATGGATTAATCGGTCGATTTTTATTTTGATTCATCGATGAATCTGATAAAAATCAACATTAAAAAAAAGCTTTGATTTACACCCTTTATTCTAAAACAGAACTGCAAATTCACATTGCAAAAAGACTTCAGAAAGTCCACAGGTTGCCCTTTGAACATAATAATTTATAAAAAATAAAGAAAAATACAAATTAGAACATTTTAAAAAGGACAATCTGTTGTTGACAAACTCTACACTACACATACTCAAACACTCACAAACATACCCTCCCATGTTCACTTGAAGCTTATTCATTAAATGATTACCATCAGTGCAAGTTAAGTAAATGTGTACGCCGATGTGTGGGGTGGTGGTGTTGGATACTACCATCATCGACTCCTGCATCACCTCAATGGAGGCTGCGTACAGAAGGTTGAGTACTACGACCATAGGGACATTAGGACCTAGTTTGGTGGCCTATGGAATGTTGAGCCAAACTCCATCAGATTTGCTGTAGTGGTACTGCCGTTACCCGAAGAGGGGCTCCAAGGACCCAATAGTAAGGAAGGGCAGGACAAGCGCCCCCACATGAACAGTGACGGGTGAGATCACGTCAAACCTTGATAGAAAAGGACCATCGTTACGCAAGTCGCAACCACGGTCAACCTCTCTTTCAAAAAAAAGAATGGAAAAACAAAAACAAAAACAAAAAATATATATATATATAATATATATAATGTCAGCAAGGGGCAACCCTTGAAATGCACCCAAAAGCCCAGCCCTCTTTCAGTATTGGTGCAACAATAAAATAAAAGTGTGGCTTAACGCCTCAAATCACAGTCAATATGACCGGTTTGGCAGGAAATCATTAAATTAAATGAAAGCCACGACCCATCATCCCTCCCATTGATGGAAAAGAAAGCTAAACAAAATGAGAGCAATATCGGGGTGTTCGTCAGATTGACATACCTTTAGGTGAAGGCTCAGGTGCTGAAGGTGCTTCAGCTGGGGTGGACTCCACCACGGGAGCCTCCGCTGAGGCTGCACAGTCTGCTGCAGGCTCTGAGGTTGCAGTTTCCACTGAAGCTTTTGGAACTTGGGCGTCCTGGATCGCAACAGCAGCAGATTCAGCCCCTAGAGCTGGAGCAGACACGGCTTCAGCAGAGCATGAGGGTTCTGCTAGTGGGGCGCTCTCTGCTGAGGCTGCAGGAGGTGCGGTGGCTGGAGACAATGGAGGCAACTCTGGAATAGTTGCTGCAGCAATCTTTGTATCTATCAGAAGCTGTGCTGCCTCTACTGGGGCTGAGGATTCAGCTTTTTCAGGTAGTGCACTTTCGCCCGGAGCTGCAGCGTCACCTCCTGCTGCACCGTCACCCAGAGCTGCAGCATCACCTGCTGCCACACCTTCAATTGGAACAGCAGCATCACCTGCTGCAGAAGCCTCACTTGGTGCTGGTGCCAAAGCTTCACAAGGCGCTGTAGAGACATTGGCTGGTGCATCAGCCTCCAAAGGAGCGAGTACTTCAGCGGGATTCTTGGCCGCCCCAGTCGCCACCTCTTCCAGAATCGCTGAAGCCTCCCTTGGCTCAGATATAACCAGTTGAGCAAAAGGGGCGGCGGCCTCAGGGGAGGTCTGCACAACGTCTTCACGATCAGGGGCCTCAGTCTGCACAACGTCTTCAACTGCAGGGGCCTCAGTCTGCGCGACGGCTTCAACTGCAGGGGCCTCAGTCTGCGCGACGGCTTCAACAGCAGGGGCCTCAGTCTGCGCGACGGCTTCAACTGCAGGGGCCTCAGTCTGCGCGACGGCTTCAACTGCAGGGGCCTCAGTCTGCGCGACGGCTTCAACTGCAGGGGCCTCAGTCTGCGCGACGGCTTCAACTGCAGGGGCCTCAGTCTGCGCGACGGCTTCAACTGCAGGGGCCTCAGTCTGCGCGACGGCTTCAACTGCAGGGGCCTCAGTCTGCGCGACGGCTTCAACTGCAGGGGCCTCAGTCTGCGCGACGGCTTCAACTGCAGGGGCCTCAGTCTGCGCGACGGCTTCAACTGCAGGGACTTCCTCTGATGCCTCCACAAGGACTCGGTCCTCCGCAGCAGCCTCAGGCACTACACTTCCTACATGCACAGCTTCCTCCACAGGCTGCAGGGACACGGTAGCAACTTCAGCTAGAGAGCCAGCCTTTGGAGTCGGCTCTAGAGGGCTGACAGGTTCTGGTTGAGGCTCGAGGGCGGTGAGGAGATCTTCTCCAGAGCCAAGATCCTCCTGGGCCTCCAGGGCTACCAACACAGCCTCCGCCTCCTCATCGGCTCCCCGTTGGAGATCATCCAGTAGGGCCGTCTGCACAGGCAACTGCATCTGGTCCTCTATGGTTTGTGCGTCTTCCGCAATGAAGCCGTTTCCGACAGCTGTCAACACAGGGACGACAAAGGAAGCACGATTAGCATATATGGCGAGCGGACATCTAGCACCAGCAGTCCTTTGTGAATAATCTGTGACATTTAAAGAAAATTCTGGAAACACCTTGGAGGATCCTTGAGGAAATCTAAACATTGAATGATGTTAGTAATAAATGACTACATCTGCAAATACAGCATTCGTCTTCAACATTTGTAGAAAAATCCATCCTAACTGCGACATTCAACCATGAGTCTTCTGTCGTAATTTATGTTATGGATGTTCTTGTCTTTAATCCATAAAATGTGTACATTCATAAACTGGTTTTAAAATGATGATCAGTCCGTGCCCGCCCTTTAATTTCCGCAGATGGAAATGCCTCATATTGAAACCTGCATCCGTCTAAAGCCCAGATGAGGCGCAAGCCTCTCGAGGAGGAAATGAAATACACGCCACAATGGCTTTGCAGCCTGGAACTGTAACATCCAAGTTCTAGGAAAAGCCGAGCGGAGCCTTTACAGAGTGTCTCATTGAGGTTTCCCCTCAGTAGATGTTTCACAGCCAACTACTTTACAGAAACCACTGGCTGCACGCTGTTCACAAATGACAGAGAGAGCGTGGGGGATAGCTTGGACGCTGTAGCTTCCTGATGTTATTTGCCTGTCAGAGGTAGTGAAAGCAGATGAGAGTGATGGGTGGAAGGGAATGCGACGGCTTGGCAACTCAAATAAGCTAGTGTACAACAGCACAAGTCAACGATTTCTAATAAGAACGAGGTTTCAGACATGCGTTTTGGCAACTTTTAAATTCGATCTGCTTTCTTTTTAGGGAAATGTTGTCCACCAGCGTGCCGTTCTCTCAGCAGAAATCCGCCTCGCACTACGACCTAAGCTGCTGTTGCGCACAGCAGGCCAGAACCTGCTGTCAGAAAGTCTGTTTGGGTGTAGACGGCCTCTCCAAGCATGGACGACTCGCACGTCAACACAATTTAGCAGCCAGAGTTGACAGAGATCCCAGTCAAAACAGTGCACAGTAAGGAGGGGGGGGGGGGGTGGAGGACAAGGGAAGGGCACAGGGGTGGCTTTGGAAGGCATACAGCTGGTGTGGTCACACACCACGGATGGGTTAAATCCTCTCCCACCATTTAGAGGAGCTTTTTCAGGGCGAAAAAAGGGGTTCTTCTTGTGGGGTGATGTAAGGGGCCTGGAAGA